ATAATTATTCACGGTATTTAGAAGTGCCCACGATAACAATATCGTGCATATTCATTACCGTGATATATCGCATTACTGAATACCGGCACAAGTCTAATGTAAAAAAAGGAACCACGCTGTGTCTGAATCGTGCCTCTCTCTCTGCGTGTGTGCGCTTCGGTTGCGCGCGGCAGCGGCTGAGCGCACAGAAAAAAGCGCGCGAGTTAAAATTGCTTGAATGTGTAAGCTGGCAAGACAAAACATGTGCAAATGATAAACTTTAACTCTATGATGGTTAACTTAACAGTTAGTCCGCGAATCACATGCGTGCAGAACTGTGTAGCCTGATCCGTACGGATCACGGATCACGTACGATCCGTTGCACCCCTAGAGAGGAATGATTCAATATTGGCATAAAATACATTTTTGAGTAAAACAGTCTGTTTTAAATGATTGAGAAGCTGAAATTAAGAATTTCATTATCATAAGTGTTTTTTTTTTGTGCTTTGCTCATAGTCATACTGTGGATTTCTTTCACCGAACTTTTCACTATGCGTTCAATGATCACATTCTTTCTAAGTGAAGGGTACATGCAATGCTGCCCTTAAATTTGACCTAAAGAAAGTATTATTGCAGGTAGGGTTTTCACAATATCAAAATTTCCTAACATCATCATTGCCAAGAGAATTCACAATAACAGAATTATCACAATATCTACAGAAACTTTGAAAAAATGCTATAAAGTCAATTTCATCCTTATAATGTTGTTTTGTTTTCTCTTTTTTTCATGGATCACCCTCAAAATATGAATGTAGGGAGGAGAAGTGTGCGTTTGTAATTATAACTCTTCAAAAGTGCTCAAAAAGAACTTCCTGCAGACTGATGTGTTTAACATTCTGTAATTTTTATGGAACCCAAAGGTGAGCTAAATTTTTGGGTCAAGTGTCTTGCTTTTTTCTGTCCTCTCCTCCCAACATGATTTTGTGCGTCAGTAATAACTACATACTGTGTCATCGGCATTTTTTTTTGATAGGTGGCAACCAGCCTTAAGGTGCAACACTGCCACCTACTATGTTGGAGTGTTACTGGCACTAGATTATTTATGGTATTATCATTAGTGTACAGTTAACGTGATGTCAGTACTTCATTTTGTTTTTAATATAACAGTTATGGTCAATAGCAGTATATTACAACACCTCAAAGGGCAGACAGCATAATTAAGTTCCCTACCTTTTGGAACAGTCTTCAAAACTTAAATGTTCTTTTTTCATGTTTTTACACTTCTAACGATAAATAAGCACTGTAATCATGAAATATTTGCTTGGGTACATTTAAAACTCACTCAAATTTCTTTTAGAATTTGCTTGAATTTATTAAAGATGTCATGGAAGTACATCTGAAACCATTTTCCTTAGGAAGACACTTGAACTGCCTCTTAAAGGGTTAGTTCACCCAAAAAATGAAAATTAGCCCATAAATAACACACCCTCAAGTCATCCTAGGTATATATG